AATGTTCTATACATTCTCTTTCACAGCCGCAACATGCAGTCCTAACAGGATTGAGCCCATAACGAAGGCTAAAACCGATGTTGACTTTATTGACTGTTAACTGGAGCAACATGTATAACAGATCAACATTGTTTTCAAAGTAGTCTGTCATAGGAACTGTTGTTATTAACGCAGTCAAGAGGAATCAATATTAAGTGCCTTGCTTAAGGGTAACATGAAACACACTGATAAAAAATAACAAACATTGTTTTGATTTTGTCTTATCTGTAAGTCTTATCTGCACTATTCACACTTTCTTGCAATATAAGGGTTGGGGCTCAGTGCCATATTGGTAGTGCAAGCCTGGAATACAACGTGCTTTGGCAGGTGTGTTTGCCAAGGTTCAATTGCTTACTGTACATTTCACTGTTCATTACCTTTTTCACAGGGCTTTGCTGTCAAGCCACCAAATCTAAGACAAGGGTCAAGACTCTAGAAAGTAAACAACCAAATGTCGCCGAGGGGGAAGCCCAGACTGCTAACACCATTTCAATTTGTGTTGGTCGTGCTTGATTGATCTAAACTTTTTTTTAACTGTAAATTAAAAACACTTCCCCTGTTCCCACTCGAGGACTGTGTTTTCATGGCGATTCTCCGTCAGAAAAGTAAATAATAAAAATCAGATATGTGCAATATGTTAATTTGTTTCTCTCTTTTTCTGTGGTTTAATACACTTATGCACAGTATTACTGTACTAAAATAACCTTTTTTCAAAATGTGTGTGTGTGTGTTGCATCCTTGTCCCTGCATGTTGCTTGTTTAGTGCCCTGCCATCACGCAATGTTTCACACACATGCGCACACACATATATAGCAGAGCAGAGGAGAAGTGAGATACAATTACAAGTGATCACTAACAAAAGCATGCGTAATGTCAGGTGTTAACTATTGTACCGACAGCTGCCCTCCTACGATCAGATATCTCGCGATGCATGTTAATGTCAAGTCCGTTCTGAGCCAGGTTATAGTTGTAAAAATCATCAACTCGCCAGAGTTGAGATTCACACCTGTCAGAACATGTCATGTTTTTATTAAAGCTCTTTGAGTGGACAATTGATACTGATAAAAGAGGTCGCTGAAGAAAATGTATTTTCTGCAACATTTGTGATTTGTTTTTCCCTTTTTCAGACAACATTATGTTGGCCTTTGCTTTATTTCTTTTATTTGCACATATATACTAACATGCGCCTGAATCCGTTTTTATGGAAGTTTATGTGGGCATACATGGCTGCAGGTATGTTCAGGTACCATTGTAAAGCAGAACCTCCCGTGTGCTATTGGTCTTTCTCGTTGCCGTTTTACTGCACCACTAATGTTTTATTGATCATATGCCTTCACATTTTTTACAAGCACTTAAAACAGCTGCTTTGCCGTAAATTCACCTTTTTAAAATGTCTCATCATTGCTGCTCACCACGTATCAGTATCTTCTTCATCTGCTGTGAACTCCCGATCTCTCCCTGTTTCTGGTTCTCTCTCCTTAAGTGTGTTTTACTTTATGTTATTTACTGCCTTATCACGTGTTTCCTTTTTATCTTTTGCATTTTCCACCCACATATAAACAGCCCATAATTTAAAAAAAATGGGTGGGGGTTAATGCCAGCATATATGAATCGAGAGTAGGGTGTTGACACATGTTCACACACTATGAAGGGTTGTATTGACAGCGGGTTTTTCATGAAGAGAAGACAACACTTTTTTTGTATTATAAAAAAAGGTTAGTTTGCTCATCTTCAAAAAACAAAGTATTGAAAAAGTGTGAATGCTGGAGGACAAAACTAAAAATATCATACTGATTTTGAATGTGTTAGAGAAGAGTCAAATTCAAGCTCCACACCTCCCCCTACAGGCGGAAATGAGCACTACATGTGATGTATTCTACCTGGCTGTGTTTTTCTGTCTGTGATACATTTCACACAGACAGACAAGCAGGTTAAAAGTGTACTCACTTTTTGAAAGCACAGCGATGTAATAATAATAAAAATAGTTTGACATGATACCTATGTTAAAGATACTTTTGAGAGTTACAATTCCTGCACACCATCACAGCTGTTTAATTTAACCTCTACTCACATTAAAGTTGGATGCAGCTATGCTCGGAATTATATGAGGTAATGGGATTGAACGCATTCAAATAGGTGGAATATTTCCTGCTGCCACAGGTGCAGTAAAGCTAAATGGAGAGTCAGAGAGGTGTCGATCAATTCGTCCTAGCATGCCATCAGTCCTGAGGGGAGGTATAAAAAATACCCTGAAAATATGCACTGGTCAAATCAGTTTTGGATGATTGGATTTCAAATCAAACTGGGCAGAACTGTGCTGGAAATGATGACGGGTCACTTAGTGTAATCTACCAATGCAAGTCCAATGAATGTTTAACATTGTCCGAGCTTAACAGGTGAAACAGGAACATTAGTTGTATGTCTGTGTGTTTGTGTGAGGCCCACTTCTACAGTTTGAGTGTGTAAGGTGTGAAAAACAATATCAGGGAACCCCTCCCTGTTGCCTGTTGGTCAACCTCAGTCCTGTCAAACTGTTGTCCAACAGTTCCCTCTAATGCAAAAGCCTGCTCCAATACTCAACAGAACTCAATTCTACCAGTGGAGTGAGTTAAACTGTTGCTTTCTATTCTATCAAAATGCTTCAAACAGCGTATGAAATGTTGATGGCAGAGTATATCAAAGAAACCAGTTTAGCTAATCTTCACTGTGGTATTGGTCCCAAAACGGAATTGATAAGAATTGGCAGAAAATTGCACATTTCACAATAACTCCAGGTTTTAGTGAAATGGATCATCCCATATTTCCCCCTGCACCATGCCCTCTGCTTCTCTGATGTGTTTGTGTTTTCTTCTAAGCACAAATCAGGCCATGCAATGTTGTGTGTATCACAGGGCTTGTGTATGGTTGGGGGTTTTGTTGTCTTTGGATGGCAGACAGCTACATCACTTTCTTTTTTTCCCCCTACCTTTCTCTCTAATCTACAGGGAAACAAGACTAGTTTGATCTTTGAAGCTAAAACACAATATTTTATTTAATGCAGAAGGCAGCATGTAGATGAAGAACATATGCTCTGGGGCTTAAATAATGTGGTATGGGGGAAAATACTGAAGGTTTATGATGCAATTTGAAAGACATACTCTAGGAGTCTAGGTCAGATTTATAAAAGCACCTTTATGTTTAATAAAATCAGCATCTCTTCTGCAGGAACAGTGCATAGTGCAGGGACGAACCTTGCTGTGGCAATAATTGTCAGTGTTAATCTTGTGCATGTGCTTAAAAAAATGTGGTTGGTTGTTCATTGTGGTATCTACAATGCCCCAGAATCTAACTTCTTTGTTTGTGTTTGTGTGTTTGCACATTGCAGCTGGCAACATGGGATCCAGTTCATGGCTTGAACGGCACCCTGACAGACAGGAAATTGGAAAATAACATGAGAGGAGTGGTGCTACGAGTCGTCACTATCCTGGTGAGTATTGCTCACCTGTGCTTTTCCTTTCTTTTTGTATGTATTTTTCCTTTATCATTATGTGATTTCCAATTGGCCATTCATAAAAAGACCTGTTTCCCTGTTTGAAAATGGTCCTGCTGTTAACTCAGAACAATCAAAGACAGACTGTTGCGACTACTGCTGGCATGTCAGATTTCAGCCTTCTGCTCTATTGTAAATCCGTCCTTTTGTCTCGTTCTATGCCCATCATTCATCTCGGTCTCTGTGGAGAGGTATAGAGCGACGGACTGAGAGCTTGTGCGAGAGAAGGACAATGGCTGACAAACATTTATGAGACAAAGTGTTGAAATGAAAGCAAGGTGTCAGAAAAGGCAAACACACAGGATGAGCTCACTAATGGACCAAGCCATCATTATTTAATTAACTTCCATTCTGACATTTGACAGCTAGATGATAGAGAACATTGGAGTCTTGATGATAGTGGGACTACAGCTCTTTCTGTCTCGCCCGCAGCATCGATTTGAGTACATCCCATGAGTACTTTAAAGATTTACTGCTGTAGATTCTTCATATCCCATCTTTGAAGTGAGAGGCAGAGAAGAAAGAGATAATTATAGACATCTTTGTGGCAATCCCTTTTTTTAAAGTCTTTGTTTTCATCATCCTAATATCAAAGAATAAGGATTGTGTTGTTGACTGTCGCCCCTTTTTCCCATCATTGGGGTAAGGTAGCTTCTATAGATGTAGTACTGTACAGCTGATATCGTCTTTTCTACCTTTTTATATTCTATTTGTGGGGGTCATTCCATGCAGATTGTCCATGTTACACCTCTAAAATGATCTGTTTGTCGTATTCTGTCTTTCAGACGGTTGAATAGTTATCGATTAGTTAATTGGCGAGGAGATTGTGCCACTATTAGGGCCAATGACTGTAAATCAATGCTATTGAATGGCTAGAGCTATAGCGATTATTAAATGGATGTTACCAAGGAATGGCTACATCACTATAATTATGTGTTGATGGTTCCTTCAGGGCTTAGTAAAGTTTAAAGTCAGGTCACAAATGGGACCGAATATAATTTGAAGCTTTGAAACGTTGATCAAAAGTTGACTTTCTTCCGTTGTAACACTCTCAAAGTGCAAAATCAGACAGCTTTAAATAACCAATCGTTGATTTGGTATGTTCCTAATTTGGTGAGATTCACCTGCTGAGTTTCATCTTTTGCAGATGCTTTCATTATACTCTTTCGAGTGTTCAGCCTCCTTTCTTTGGCTCTACTCCACATTCATAGAAGCAAACTGGGAATATACAGTATATTGCAGCTCAAACGCAGCAAAAGGCAGAGCGTGTCCCTTATTAACTTTAGATTACATTTTTGGAAATAAGGAAAGACTGCTCGGTGTCTCCCCAAATGAACCTGACGTTTTACTTTAGAAGATGATAAGGCAGTAACCACTAAATAGAATTAAAAATAAATTGGTGCCTCAATTTAAAGTGTTGTAGAGACTGGGGGTGATTGATCATCATGATAAATGATGATTGATAAGGTTCCACTCAATTGTTTCAGACATTCAGTAAGTAATTATACTATGGGGTACACCCTCATTAGATAGCAACAGTAAAGATATGACAGAAAAACAAGAGTAAGAATAAATTAATCACCTTCACAACGTAGTACACTGCTTCTTTTTTGCCATCCTTACCAAACAGAGACAGAGGGAAAATTCATTTTAGAACTGAACCTAATGTTCTGCAGAGACTGGCAAGGTTTTCACAAAATACACATGTTTTGGGTTTTGGGGATGCTCACTGCTACACATCACCACAGAGGAATGCTCTGCCATTACTTTAAAAAAATGTGTTTTCCAATCATGTGTCAAAAACCTTCTTGCAACAAGATGTACTTTCAGGGGAGAGGAGATGGGATGAACTTGTGCCAAAGGAATGAGAGTGAAGGAAAGGTACTAGGATCGTTAAGACAAAGAGGGGATAGAAGAAGTGATGTTATCCATCTTCAACGTATGGATAGATTGATGGAGGGAGAAAAGGTGTCCTAGACATAATGTTTTGATAAAGATGGAGACGTTGGGTTGTGGAAAGATGCCAAATGGTGTATATCAAACAGCTGGTCAGTGGCAGGGGGAAAAAACAGACTTGAAAATAACAACAAAGTGAGAGAGAGAACAAGAACCACAGATTAGCACCACATACCCAGAATACATCTTAGAAGGGGATTTTTCTTGAATTATATCAATCTATTGCAAATGAGTGAAGCAGAAGGCAAGACACCATGGCAAGAAGCAACTACAGAAAATATAGGCGATGCTCGGGAATACATAGGAAGAATGAAAAAGGCAGACATTGATCAACAAAAGAAACCAGTGACTGACAAGCGCTGCACTAAAACCAGAGACAGAGGACCTGTTAATCACTATACATCATAACATGTAAGAAACAGAGAAGGAAACACAAGTTACAATTCAGCAAGTTGTATGTTCAACTAGTCAGTACGGTTAACGTAGATGCCTGAGTGAAAGAGAGAACTATCATGTTCTGTCCTGCCAACTTCAAATGGCATCATTGACAAAGCCTATCCACTTGTCAGAGAACATATAGCTGTTCTAAAAACATTCTTTGACATATGTTTTTTTTATGCATCTCTGTGTCATATTCCTATACCTACAATTCACCTTAATGAGATAAAATGCCAATCATGCTTAAACTACTTTGAAACTCTTGACCACGCATATACACAGACTCAGAGCTGCGTACATGCAGTTTCTTGCTTTACATTGATTTGCAGCTGCTATTTGTGGTGTGTGCCATTGTTAGCAAGCAGTAGGCGTGCAAGTGTATATGCAACACATACAGTCATGTAAACAGTGGATATGTTTGATTTTGTTCTAGTGTGTGTTTTCACTGTATATCACAGAGCCTGTTCACTTGGAAACCATATGTATAAAAGCTGAATATTAGGCCGGAAAAAAACATGTCAGTCATATTTAAACACCTTCATATGTTACGTGTTCGCTGAAAAAAATAGTACCAATTACATTTAAAAAATCTTATCAATGCAATGCCTGGTTTACTTTAGAAACAATGTTCCAGTGTTAACATTCACCAACAATCAGCAGTGTATTTGGAAGTATTTGGGGGGATTACTAAGTAAGTGTGTGGGCTAGTTGGTGTTCCTGCCTTGGCGGATGGATGCTTGAGGTGAGATAGGGTAGGGACTTGGCATGCATGTCCACTCACTGACTAATAGCTTATTGAACAACAGCAGCTAGCAAGGATTAGAAACCGCCATGTTAATGTTGACAGCTTGTGTGTGTGTGTGTGTGTGTGTGTGTGTGTGTGTGTGTGTGTGTGTGTGTGTGTGTGTGTGTGTGTGTGTGTGTGTGTGTGTGTGTGTGTGTGTGTGTGTGTGTGTGAATGATGTATGTGTGCTTAATGTGCAGCCAGTATCCAGTCAATAACTTGCAGGCCCTCATAAATCCGCAGGACATATTGGCCTAAAACATTTCACTCATCAATAGGGATTTATTAAAGAGGAGAGAAAAAGTGGGGCGAGAGAGTATGGGTGGGTGAAAATACTAGACAGAAGCTGAAGAGAAAATTCCTCCAATGAAACACTCAATCTTAGTACAGTATATAAAAGTAAATATCAATTTTGTTTCCAGCATCTTGCTCTTCTTGTTGAAAATGCATTGGTTTCTCCCTGTGCTGTGTTCATTTAATACCAGTGTTTGTCAGCATTGTTGGATGTCATTTAGCCTCTACAGGACGCTGCCCTTTAGATCCCATGGAGATATTGATGAACGGGAGGTTCAGCTGTCACAAGTGCATTGCAAAATTAACCAATAAAAAAACCAAATCTGCTGAAATGCATGAGGCAATTATTGATTTCAACATTATAATTCACTTGAAAAGGTTTGATAGGTTATATTTAAATACATTATTAAGTTCCCTCTTTGAATAAAATGCGAATAGATATAGAACTACCTCATGTCATTGAATCTGTTTTGGTTTCAACACATGAGTAGGCAGAATTATTCCTGGTCAGATCTTTTTTTTTTATCTTACACTGTTTTTTATCACCATATTGGTTAAAAGGAAAATGTGCTACCACTGGCATTTTCGTTTTTTCAGTTTCCAATTCTTGTTAAACTGAGCAACTTTAGAGAAATGTTTTAATGAGTCCCAATGCTCTTAGTGCTCCATAATGTATAAAGGACAGCCATTGGTGCCACAACAGAGGGGGATGTGATACATATAACGCCCGCAGGAGTGAGATTTCACCCTGGTTATGACATTTCACGTGTCAGAAGGGTGACAAATCCCATTTGCACCCAAATACTTAGGATGGTAATGCATAGAATAGGGCAAGGCTTTCAAGGGTAATAGTGTGTCAGTAAAAGGGAATAGGAACCAGACTGAGCGGATGTAAAACATGTAGGTCTTAAAACAGAACAGGCTTTGATTTGTCAGAGGCAGGATATGTATCTAACCGTACAAGATTTTTTTTTTTTTTTCAATGTACTGGAAACTCCAGAGGGAGTGTTTATCTGTAGTCTTTGACAACAGTAATGCTGTAAAATATACTTTCACCATACAGGCATTTAACTGATTTTGTTGACCTACAATTGTGCAAATAGTGTGTTGATCATGACCTTTTCGTACTGTATGTGTAATGTAAGCTCTTTCAGAAGTTCTACCATGCTTTAAAATGAGCATTTGTGGTGGTATAATGGCCACTTGAGTAATTGGGTGATTTAATGCTTGAACGAGTGGTGTATTGATCGGCTGCTTGACTGACTCACTGAAACGGATTGATCTTTGCCTTCCAGGAGGAGCCGTTTGTAATGGTGTCAGAGAACGTTCTGGGAAAACCGAAGAAGTACCAAGGCTATTCCATTGACGTCCTGGATGCTCTGTCCGACTACCTGGGCTTTAAGTATGAGATCTACGTCGCTCCAGACCATAAATACGGCAGTTTGCAGCCTGACGGGCAATGGAACGGACTGATGGGGGAATTGGTCTTTAAGGTGAGCGGGAAATAATTAACATACATGCAAAAACACATGTCAGAACAGAACACACAAACAAACACTTAAAATACACAAACAATATAATGGAATCCAGGAGAAGAATGACATGGGATAGATATTTCAAGAACTAACAGAGATATATGGATATAAGAGTGTGTTGCCTATACAAAAGAAGAAGCAGGCTTGCAGACACCTGTTATAAGCATCACTTGTGTACATTTATTTAGGACCATAGCCATCTTCAGGTTGAGTCTTCACAGTGTGGATTCCAATCGTAACATTTTACACAAAAACTTCTACTATAGGGATGACTTCAACTTCTTAACATAGGAAAGGGAAATTCAGACAGTAATTAATCAACCAATGCAGCATGGTGTCTAAAATGAGTGGAATTGGGTCATATGGCATATTTCTGAGGAGAAGCTTCAAGCATCTTTAACTATCTGACATATCTGGCAGCATCTTAACTCCCTTAGTATTTACTTGTTTCTCTTAAAGTAAAAACATAAAAATAATATTTGTGAGAGGGAATGTGTGTGTGTGTGTGTGTGTGTGTGTGTGTTTATGTGGGTGGGGTCTCCATTTGGCAATAACAAGTGCTTTAACCTTAACATAGCTGCTGTTGCGGACAGGTAGCTTAACATTTGCATTCAGAGAATGCACCACTTCTCTGCTGTGTAGTAAATGAGCAAATCAATCTTATGTTCTGACAAGTTTATTGCCCTCAAAATTGATGCTAATGCTCTTTTGTTGTCCGTCTTTATGGTCAGCTACTATAGTAGCCGGTACTGAATATTTCAGATGTAAGTACTGAATATGTTTGCCTCTTTAGGTTTGAATGTTAATAGCATAAAGCAAGTGAGTAAAAGTGACACAGAACACAAGATACATTACTTTCAAATTACTGTATGTCAAGTCTGAGTAGTGACAATACTTCAGATATTCAACTTGGGATCAATATTTCCAAAAAATATGCTCCTTGCACATGCAACATTATTTTCTCTCATTTACATCCGTAATCCTTTTTCTGTAGGAATAAAATGTTTTATACAGTAACAAACCCTAAGCAAAAATATAGAAATATTCAACAAAGCAACAAAATATGAAAAAAGCCCATTGTTTCTCAGACCTCACTGTTCCTCTAAAGCCTTGGGTCATTTAAACATTCATGTGGGGGCCAACCGTTAAGGCTTCAGCTCACCATACTGTCACGCCATTCTGTTTCCCAAAAATAATTGAAGGACTGCTAAAATGGGATGCAACAAGGTATTTGAGATGGGATTTTTGTTCCATTCAATAGCAGCATAAGTAAAGGCATAATTTAAAGACATATTTTAGATGGGTACACATTTTTAACATTTCATTTGAGTTTGCTAAACTTGTTTTTAATTCATGACGATTAGTACAGCCATCTACTGTATGCAATTAGACTAATAGGTATGTTGTGTCTGTGCCAGAATGAGGAAGACATAATATACTGTATCCTGAAAATAAAATTACAATAATTTGCCCTTAAAATTGTCCCATTCAATTAATAAATGAATATAAAAAATTCCATTCCTAATTTTATAATATGATGTTATGAACACATCACAAATATATCAAAAACCTAGAATTGTTATGTAATTAAAAATGTAGATGCAGTTAATATATGTTTTCTTGTGTAAAATATACAGTATGAGTTTTAACCTTAAGCTGATGCTCAATGCAACAAAGTTAGCCAAATGCAAGTGCTGTTGTGTCGGGAGGTATCTCTTTGACGTTAAAGAGCACAGGTTACTTTCACTTAAAGTCATTAAATCAACAATATATAAAAAAGACTATAGTGACTCATCACATTTTCAAACTTTAAAGAAAAAGCTACCTTTTCATTTCCTGTATGTGAATGCCATATGTCAAGGATATTTCTTTTTATTTTCAGCAATGTTTTCTCACAACTTTCCCTTGATTATTTTCTTTTTGCTGTATGTCAGGCTTCAATATTTGTTGAAACTGGGTCTCTTTTCCCTGACCTTGTTTACTTGTGTGTGTGTGTGTGTGTGTGTGTGTGTGTGTGTGTGTGTGTGTGTGTGTGTGTGTGTGTGTGTGTGTGTGTGTGTGTGTGTGTGTGTGTGTGTGTCTAGCCTTTGTAACCCCCCTCCCCCCAATGCAACATCTCACAAAGTGAGCACATTGAATATGTATGTGTACACAGACAAGCACAGGCTGAACATTTTGTCAGCAACGCAGTTTATCTCTCCGAAAACCCAATTATACCACATAATTATTACCCAGAGTGCTCTCTGAAAGTTTCCATGTCGACTGACCACAGCAGTCAGCATAGAAATTAATCTGTATTCACACACACATATACTGTACACACACACACACACACACACACACACACACACACACACACACACACACACACACTGCATTTGCATTTGCATTTGCATGCCTATCGTAGCGTTGTCTCAACCAACAGGCCTCCTGTAGGGCTTCTACTAAATGTCTTCTTATGCTGTGTGAGTGACAATTTCTGCACATTTAAGCATTTTGTTTCCTCACTCAACTGTGAAATTAGCAGATTTAATTTTTTTGCCTACGGTAGATTAAATGTTTTATTTGTTTTGTGTGTGTGTGTGGGAGTATAGATGGGGTAAGCATGCAAGTGTGTGTTTGTCAGTGTGTATCTGAGTGTGTGCAGCGGCTGTAGGGCTTAGTATTCACTGGCAAAATCACCTAACTTGTTACAGTCAGTTGTTTAGAGTAAATACAATCCTATTATCTAACAAGTTCATAATACACTTGTACTATCTTTGGCACTCATTTTCAAACATACATGCGCACACTTACAACAGCGTCTGTAATCCTTGTTATAATACATCTGCTTGTAGTCAAGCATTGGGGACTGAAAACATTTTAATTAGCCTTTTATTGTGTCTGCATTTCAGCTGAACTAAGCCTATTTTTCATGGCAAACATACTTTACAAGTAAATAATTAAAGATGTCATCTGTTGTCATCTTGTTGATTTGTTAGGAAAGAATTTCTCTGTTGAAGTGTGAACTGAAGCACTCAAACATAAATAGGCCTACATTAAATGGATATGAGAGAGCAGGCCCTGCCACCCTTCACACTGAATGCCCTTCAGCCTCCTGCCTGCCCTGCAGCTGTTGAATCATTTTGTATCAGAATAAAAATAATGGATTTTTTTTTCAGAGGAAAATAATACTATAACTTGAGCTGGTAATGGTTTATGTCAACCAATGCCTTTGGTTGTTTCTCAAAAATGTAAGAGGGGCAGTCTCCTTTCCCCTCTCATGACCCAACTATTTAGAACGGTTTATTCATGTCCCAGCAATATGCAAAGACTACTCATTCTCAAAGTTCTGTAAGAAAAGTAGATTTTGCAGAAAAATACTGCATATTGTCTTTCTTCAGAAAGACCTTTTGTTTAGCTACCTGCAGCCCAGATGTTTTGTAGAAATAAATACAAAACATTTGTATTTATTTAAATTGTTGGAATGGGCTGAGGCAGCACTGAAAACAATTTCCTACCTATGGTTAAAAAAGTCTACCTTTTTCTGCTGTGTTCCTCGCCTACACATTTTCAGTGTTGATACTACAAACTCCTCTTTTCACCTCCGCCTCTTGCAGCGAGCAGATGTGGGACTTTCTGCCCTGACCATCACGCCTGAGCGAGAGAGCGTCGTGGACTTCACCACACGCTACATGGATTATTCAGTGGGTGTTCTGCTGCGCAAAGCTGAACGCACTGTGGACATGTTTGCCTGCCTGGCGCCCTTCGACCTGTCACTGTGGGCGTGCATTGCGGGCACCGTGCTCCTCGTTGGCATCCTGGTGTACCTGCTCAACTGGCTCAACCCTCCCCGGCTACCCATGGGCTCTGTGTCACCGACAACACTGTACAACTCCATGTGGTTCGTGTACGGCTCCTTCGTACAACAAGGTAAGGAAGAAATGTTAGATAAAATCTTTAAAATGAACATAATTCACGCTGCAAGTCTTTTTTTATTTTTTTTTAATGGGTTACGAAAAGTAGGAAACATCATTTAACTGAATATGTCTTGATCATTTATCGAATGTGCCGTTGCTCATTCTTTTGTAGCTTTTTAATAAAGTTCAAAAAACGAGTTGTATATTTTCATACTTTAAAAATGTTACACCAGCTGGCAACCAGAAGGTGCACAGAAGTGCTGTTCTTCAATATTATGCCACAGGGATGTGTACTTCAATAACAAGCTTGCAGGGTCCATCTCAAAGGTAAAATATAGAGAGATGCTGGGAGAGGAGGGAAGGATAGAAGAAAAGGGCTGATTGCTAAAGTAATCTAATGTCAAATATGTGATAAAAACTGTCCTCGGGGTGTCATGAGTATGTATTGACCTCTCATGTTTGAGCAAAGTAGTCAAATGAGAACAGAAAGGAGGAGAGGTTTTATCTGGTTTTCCACCCGAAGATTTTCCAGAATCCGCCCGACCATACTCAGGATTTAAATGTCATCAGTGCAGGAATAGAGCCATAATAGGGAGAGGAGAGGGCGGTGAAATCTGTTTTTTATCATTTATAATTGGCATTTCGACCCTATTCTAACAGGTAACTATTTAGTATATAATGAAAGAAAAAAGCAGAAAATGATTATATATACATGCATAGGGTCATTCTTGTGTTCATGCCTGTGCAGATGTTTACGGGGTTTGTAGTATAATAAATAAATACCTGCAATTTTACAATAATCACACTGTGCCTTGTCCATGCTTCGAGACTCGCAATAGTAAAAAAAAAATGGAACTACACTAATTATGGAAATAGGGAGGATATTATTTTCTTTCTGTAAAATATTTCAGACCCTGAATAAGCAGCTGATGAGCATAACACTGTTTGGTAAATAACCCTCCATCTTTTTCTGCAGCTAATGGTGGTAATAATGATGATACATGCTAATTGCTGTTTGATATTTGCAATCATTTCTCTTTTTAGCTGTAATTAACATTTTAGTCATGGTAACATTAGGGAGAAAAAAGGAGAGAGGGAACTAAAGGTTTTCCTTTTTTTTAGGCATGGGATTGTCCATTGTGTGTGTCTATGTTGGGTTTATTCTTTACAGCGTGTGGGTGATATGTATCCATGTTCATGTGAGCAGAGCTGTCCTTTTGCCACAGGTCATTTGTTTGTGATTTGGTCAGCCAAAAATCTCACTCAGAAAATTAGCTGAGCAATAACAGACTTCGGCCACGAGGCTAAGTGGGCAGACCTTCACTAGCTTTAAGTCACCTGGTGTGTGGTTTACTTTCATCCCAGAAATAATGTATCTGAATAGTCCAACATGATGCCAGACTGTTGCTCTGTGCTGCTGTGTCAGAGGGAGAGAGGGCCAGAAGAGGGAGGAGCAACGGGATCATACTTACTTTCTCCTGTCTCATTTGCCTTTCCATTGCTATCCGTGTCTCTTTCTCCCACTTATATTGTACTTAACCTCAACTACGATTGTGTCCTTCCATCCCTCTATCCTCTATTCGTCATTCATTCTTTTCTCCTTATTCTCCTTTATCCATATGTCTCTTGGTGGGTGGGTGTGTGGGGGGGGGGGCAGTGTCGGAAGTGGGCAGTGTCTGATGTGTGCATGTAAAGGCCAATAGAGGGAGGGACACAGAGGAAGAGGAGAGAAGGAATGGGAGTAGAGGGGAAAATATCAGCAAGCCATAAACTATGTCTAATTGGTCTCAAGGAGAGGGAGAGAGAAAAGAGAAAGGGAGAGAAGAAGAGGTACTGTAAAGACACACAATGTGAAGGACTGCATCTGACACAATCTGCTGTTACTGCTTCATCATAGTCTATGCCAACATTAGTTTTGGCAACAGGCTGTGATTAGTTTTTTCACCTGCAGTGAAAGTGGCCAGACTTACAGTAGGGACCATCTACTTGCTTGATTTTGGTTTGGTTGCACTCAGCCTGTCCTCTTTTGAAAGGAGACCATATCTGCATTACTGCCAAAGAAATGTGATTTGGGTATTTTGCCAGTAAAAACAGAAAGTCACAGATGCAGGAATATGGGGAAATAAATTGTAGGCTAAGTTAAATAATACCTGGAGACAGAATGAAGTATGTAAGTAGTGCATGTAGAAAGGAAGGTGTGGGAGAGAGGGTACGATTTAAGAGGATGTGAAATGTTTCCTAAGGAGATGAATTTTCAGCTTCAGTTGGATTACTCTTTGGCGCTGGCTGAGGTGGGAAGGTCATTCCAATATGTTTCAGAGCCAGGAGGGAGAAGAGTCAAGGCTGGGATGAGTGATTACTGGGTCACAATATTAGGAGAGCCAAGCAGACAACATTAGCAGAGTGCAGGGCATCGTCTGGCTGGAATGTAGCGCACGGACACACCATGGCTCGAAGGGATGTGGAATGTGCACTCATTTGCAGTCTTGTATACACCAGGTTTTTGATTTGAAGTGAACCGCCATAGGCAGTCAGTGGAGGGAGAGCATGAGGACGGTGACATGCAAGAATTCAGAAGGACAGAAAACGGAAACTGCCTGCAGCGGTTTGGATGAGGTGTAGAAAGAGTGGTCAGAGGAATGTTGCACTACTTCAGATATAAGCTTCAACAAGCTGAGCGCAATTGCTGATAAGAAAGTGTCTACTCCATTCAGTGTCGTGAAAGATTGTAAACCAGCAGGAGCTGGAGAATATGCTTAAGAGCAAAAAAGCCTTTGTGAGATGGACAATTTCATACATGGCGTGGAATGAAAGTGTATTTCATGGTCTTAGATGATTATGCCGCTTAAAATACAGCCTCTAAAGTGGATTAAACATAATTGTCATGCATTTTAGAAACGGAATGAAAAAGGCAAATTAAATTGACTTGTACATTGAGAAGGCCATGTCATTTCCCACTTTATTTTTGATCAATTTAATTCAAATAAAATCTCAAAGTGCAAGGATATACTGTAAATATAACAAGGTAACAGTTAATACCAAAGAGAGCGAAGACATAGCGGTAAAGTCAGTAAAGGGATCATTTATCAGTTTCAAGAAAAAAACCTCTGACTGCAGAGAAAAGTTTCTGGGCCATTTTACACAGAAAGCTCAATGTCTGAGGTGCCCTCAGGTGTTGTTCGGTCAGCTTGTTCCACCGCAAGAGCATCTGCAACAGATTACATCTGAAATCCAACATAGCCACCACAATGCGTCTTTTATAGTGTGTTTTTTTGCAAAGCTGCACTCCGAGAGAGAAGAAAAGTTAAATGGCCACAGTTATCAAATGGACTTTGAACTGTAATGTGCAAACAGGCGACAGAAGCTGAGGGGGCATATCTGCTGATGTGTAACCTGTGTAGGATGAAGAGAAAGTTCTGAAAGGTTGATTTTTTAAAGAAGAAAAAAATGAAACTTAAAGAGACGGTTTGTGAGAGTCAACACATTACCTCGTTCCTCCATCCCATTTCCTGTTTCGTTACCTCCCTGTCTCCCTCTATCTGTCACTTCATCCTCCACTTCCCCTATGCCCTGTCTTGACTGCTCTAAGTCTTGCCTTCACTGTTTGAGCCAAACCAGGCCAGTCAAAAGCAAAACTCTGGTGTCGCACTGAATATGTGTCTCCTTTCACAAACGCGCTCTCCAACTCCATTTCTGGTGTTCTCCCCTAATTAAAGTCCCGACTAGGAGGAGAGACATGTGAATATCAGACTGACTGTGTGTGTGTGTGTGTGTGTGTGTGTGTGTGTGTGTGTGTGTGTGTGTGTGTGTGTGTGTGTGTGTGTGTGTGTGTGTGTACTGAATGACTGGTTTTAAATGTATTTACAAAATTGGAAATAAGCACACACAAACACAACATTGGGGCCAAAATCAACATATATATATATATATATATATATATAATATTTCCATCTTCTGCTCTCTCTTTTCTCCCAAGAGCCTCTGCTGTGCTTATATATTTGTATATACATGTGAGCTTGACTGTGTAAGAGAGAAAAGCTGTGAGTTCTCTGCCTTGTTGTGGCACCATATAGGAAAATAAAATGTCCTACCTCCTTCCTTTCCTCAGTTCTCTACATTTTCCAATTCCTTTAACTTACCGCTGAGTTTTCTCAATGTGAGTTGCGTTCAACTTCATCACTCCCCATTTCCTCTCTACCTTCCTCTGTGTCTTTCCCTCCATCATTATTTCTGCTTCTGCTGTGCCATACTGCTGGGAAACCATCGTTATAATCATTTTCCTGCTCTCTTCTTCTCTTTCTCTCCCCCTCTTCCTCTCTTTATGACTCCCTCTTATCCATTACCCCTCTCTAACGACTGTGTTGTGATGCTGTGAAGTGGACCCAACTTTAGGATGCCCATTCTTCCTGACTGTGCACTGCTATTTCTCCATCTATCCTCCCTCTTTTCTCCTCTCTGTCCCAGTCTCTTTCTGGCAACAGAGATATCCCACTGTGAAGAGTGACCATCGCTCAACAGTGTCATTAAATGCACGTCTCTCTCTTGCTCTTTCTTCCATGCTGTGCTCTCTTGTTTCTGTCACAGTTGCTTCCTTTCCCTTTTTCCTTTTTCTCACCATTTCCAGAGATCTCACTTTCTTACCACTTACATGTCCAGCTGTTACTAGTTCAACCATATCCTGCTTAGACCTGATTTCATCCCTTCTGACCTGAATATATTTGTCCATGCATCCACAGGAATTATAATAAAATAACACTTCAATAGGAGCCAATCTGTTTTGCATTTATAAGTTTAAATGCAGGGCTTAAAGTAGCCTTATTATTGCTACTTTAACAAAATGTTCTTGTTTTGTTTCCATGCAACCTAGGGGCAGTGGCAAAAGTTATCATCCTTTAAGTGGTGAACTTGTTAGAAAACTGTTGCTTATTTACACATGGGCTTTACTTACTCTATTGGAAATAATTGGCACCAAAGCTGCTAAATGCTCCACTTTGAGCCTGAGCTAATGTCTGCCATTTGGCGTTGA